GAATCAGATGGAATTTTAAATTGTGTTATATCAGAAGTAGGGGTGGTTTTTGTCTGATTTCGCACCGTAATGTAGGAATGGTAGGATCGGTAAGTAATAACTGAATTTGGTTGAAATTGATCAAGTAGATCCTAAGATAGGGGGTTTTCCTTAAATGTAGGCGGTACCACGCCAATCGTCCGAATTTGATTCCGGCTCTTATAAAGCTCTTTCGTACGATCTTGGGTTGAAAAGTTTATTATTTTTTTAGCAAAAAAAACAGAAATAATCTTATTAGAAGGCGGAGCCACCTCCACTTTTTAAAAAAAATTTCAGCCGTAGATGCCCCTCTCTTATACAATTCGTTGTAGTAAATAACAGCCTTGTCTCTTACTGTGGAGGTTAGTAATGGCACTTTGTATGTTTTTGTTTTGTGAGCGTGCCAATAGTCCAATTCCGCCTATCTGCAATACCAACCCACCTTAGGTGCCAAGAAACATGTGTACCAAATTTCATCAAGATATATCAGTTTTATTATTTTTACTTAAGATATTCCATGCACAAACAGACAGACAGTCACTCAGAATTCAACTTGTATCGTCATCCTGACCATTTATAATTTCATATCTATCTCGGTTAGTTGTAATAATATTATGCTCTGTAGCAATACGTTGCAAGAGTATAAAAATGTAGGCGGAGCGTTGCATCGGTGAAAACGCAAAGACGGGTTGGGTATCGCCCAGAGGTCTTTTATTTGTTCAAAAAAAATTCGTGACTGATACGACTTACGCGTTCCTTTAAATTGCCTTGGTGTAAGGTAAAAGGTGTTTTTTATCGGAAAACATTATTTTATCAAAACACAGAATTCACTTTATTCCAATATAAGCAAAAATAGCCGAGGTAGTGTCATTTTGAGACCAATAACTTGAGAAAGATCAGAGGAAATTTCATTGTCCTAGTTGAGATCTAAGAAAAGTGTGGAGATTCTTTTTTGTGGCGAGATCTCTCGATCAGGCCAAAAACTTTTCTTAAGATTGAATGATAACTTTTAAAATAATCGCAATGAGTGCACCAGATTTTAACACCCTGAACAAGGTATATTACGTTTGCCACGAATTTTGTAACTGCCAGAAGAAAACGTGGGAGACCCCATAAAATATATACTTATATAAATGTTTAGTATGACGAGCTGAGTCGATTTAGTCATGCCCATCCGTCCGTCCATCCGTCTATATGCATATACGCGAACTAGTCCCTTAGTTTTTGAGATATCGATCTGAAATTTTTCTCACCTCCTTATCTTCCAAATGAACTGCTCATACAACTGTATGATTTTAATCAAGTGGCTGTGTGGAAAACTTTTTCATTTAACGAGGTACGAGGAGTAAGAAAATCTGCTTGGTGTAATACCCGAAGAAATTGCATTCTTGCATATAGCTGTCATACAAACTGAACGTTCGGAATTGACTTCTTGTAAGGAATATTTTGTATTTGTAAAGTGTACTACAGGTTGAGAGTTAACATTTTTTCTAGTTTTCTAGTTTTATATTGAAGATAAATAATAGCTTTAGACTGTGTTCTCACGATCCAAGATTAATGTGTAACCTCTAACAAGATATAAATTTAAATATTTTTATATACATACATACATACGATATACAAACACGCACTTTTAAAGTGTATGTTCGTTGTACTTTTAGCCACATGGATCAAACCGCAGCCTAATCATTACATTATGTTGGCTAATAATTCACATACATCCATATATAAATCGATTCAGGGCATTAAAAAATTACGCTTTCAAGAGTGAAGATGAGCAAACTCTCTTGAATACATACCAAATGATGCTTCATGCATGCGTACAGTGTTTGTTGTATAAGCCAATAATATAAAATATCAAACACAAGATCATATTGTACTGCATATAAAACATAAGAAAAATTAACAAATCATAATATCATCATTTATCATCATTAAATGGAGCCAACAAATGTTCTGCATGCCAGTAGGCAGTGCATTACAGGTATCGGTACATGGATACATTTAAGTATGTTTGTATAAGTATGTGTCGCAACATAAAAGCCGTGCGCGCCACACGCACGAGCATATCCAAACTTATGGCTTTTTATGTGTGCAGTTGTATGAATGTTACAGGCATATATTCCTCACATATTCCTATATATCTATGCACATATTTATATGTTATTAATTGTGTCTAAAGGCAGGCAAGAGCAACAGTATAAAGGCAGCCCCAACAACGCCAATAGCTAAAATCGGTGTGAACGCGTTCCTAAATACTAACTTTTATCTACGTACGCATATATTGTAAATAATATAAATAGATGAACAAAAACAGCTACATACAAGCCAACATCCCGGCCATCCAACAAATGAACTAACCAACCAATACGCTTTGGTTATAAATCAATCAAATGCTTCGTTATATGTGTAGCCACGGGCTTCAATTGGCACCAAAACTATACCGCTTGAAGATCTATAAGTAAAACCAAAAATATGCGCCAGCCAATTGTTGAAAAGAAATTTGAGCCGCACAAGGAATTGTTTATTTTTATTTTTATTGTTGTATTTAAACATAGATATGAGAATGCTTGCAAAAGGGCCTTCTTACCCCCCTATTATGTTATCATATAAATTTCAAAAATGATGTTTTACTTGTGGAGGCATACACGCCGCGATCACACCGGGTGCAAATGGGCCGCCGACCAGCTAACTGTCAACACCACGCATCAAATGCCACACTCCGCTGACACTCATGGCATACTACAGCGTGGACGCATGGAAATGAGTGCGTGACTGACAGTGTGTCTACTTTGTCGCGCATACTTGTATAGGTATGCCTTAATAGAATATTTAAGAAAACTAGCGTTAGTGCCATCACGACCAACATCGCACTACAGCAAACATAAGACACAACAATAACATTTTAGCCACAAGCTAGACTTAACGCTTTTGCCTTAAAATTTAATTGCAGGCTTAGTGCGGCGGTGTACGCCTTAGCTGTCTTAAAAGCGTAATAAAATACTTTGTGGCTATGAGCTGAACTCCAGCTAGCATCAGCTTAGCTTAACTCAACTCGGGATTGGCGTGATTTGGAGCGCGAGTTGTTGTGTACGTTTGATTTGTTAAAGCTGGCGTGCATATGTGTGTGGAAGAGGTGCGAGATCGATTGCATCGCTCATTCAACTCGAAAATTGATTGATGCAGTTTATTATAGCCGCCCGGTACATAAATCAATATCGCCATGCTTGGTTGAGTAGACAGATAGATATGACTATGTATACATATGCATCGTTATCCTTACGTGTTCGTACCTCTGTAAGCTTACCTATACCGGTGTGTACATTATAGATTTAGCTATACCATTGCACGGTGTCTCATGTATGCGCAATCAAAAAATCTATCTTTAATATTGACTTGACTGGCGCTTGCATGAAAGATCTTTAAATTTAATTAAAATTTCTTTTCTTTGATTTAAACTTAATGATTTGTATATGATTTGTTGTTGTTGAGTTTAATTTTGTCTCATAGCCAATGGCGATTGCGCCGATCGTCGAAGCGTATCGAATGTATGTATTAAACAGTGGAATCTTGACAGGTGTGGCGCCTTCGCATTTAAATTTTATACCTGTTAGCAATTTGTGTTATGACTTATAGGCCTGCTTTAATAATAATAATATTTCATTTAGGAAGATAAATTTGCTTTTAGCTTTTAGTATTTTGATTATCCTTAACGCGTTAATTAAACTAATATGAGTGAACTAATCAATGCCAAAGAAACGTATGTAAATAACTATTATAAATATTAGAAAAACAAAAATTAAAATTAAATATTGGAAATATTTTACAGTAACTGTAGTGAGCATAAACTATGCTAGGTATTTCGAGAAAAGTCATTACATATTCATTTTCTCTATTTTACGGAGGCAAGGAAATTTCGAAAACTATCCAGCCCCGAACAAGTTACGCGATATTATGAGTATTTTAATCATGCCGCCGTAAAATAAGTTTTTAGATTTGATCTGGGGCCTACAGCTTAACAATTCCCAATCTATCATCTTTCCCTACTACTAAATATTACCATATTTACATAAATAAAAGAAAAACAATTCTGAAATTGATTCAATAATTTTTGATCTTCTTTAGCGTGTTAAAAATTGCTTGATTATTTCGAAGCAATGAAGAAAATTAAGCAAAAACAATGAAATAGGAATTTGGAACAAACGAAGATTTCAAAAACGGATCGAAATTCAAATAAGTATGATAAAGAAATTTGAAAATATCGAAAGCTTTCTTTTCATATTTTAAACTATCGAAAAATATCTCCCTAAAAGAATTTGAAATGATTTTGAAGCTTCCAGGTTTTAACTGTTGTGACCGATATAACTCAAAACATTCAACTACTTTTTCTTGAAACTGCTCTGTTCCATGCCGTCGTCAGGTTATCTCAAGTTTTAAACAGTCGATTTACTTGAAATATGACATGAATGTTTTTTTAATACTAAAAAATACTAAAATTTTTGTGGTAATAATTTTAAGAAATTCGAGAAATTTTAAATAATTGCGCAATAAATTGATATTTTTTTAATAACAACCTTATTACGATTTTTTCTTTTCAGTTTTGTGGGTTCACCGGATAATGATATTTGTATTAATCGAGATTTCATAACTCTTTATTTGTTTTTGAAATACACACAAGTATACAAATCGTGACAGTGAGGATCGGCATTGTCAGTTAAGACAAATGAGCAGCTTCTTAGGGAGAAAAAGACATGTGCAAAATTTCAGGTCGATATCTCAACATCTGACGGACTAGTTCGCGCATATACAGACGGATAATTTATCATGGTATATCAATGGTTTTCGTTTATTACCAAAACGCACGAAATTCGATCCTCTTGTTAAGGGAACAGCAGTGACATTGCCTCAGTAGAAAGGCTAATGATAGTTCAACTAATACTGTGCTGACGAACTCTTTAACTCAATAAACTCGTTAGAAAAAGTCAGATTTTTAATGCAAGTCGAGTTTTTATTTTATTGTTATGTGTTATTATATATGGACTTTTATTTATCACCTAGAAAACATGTTGAAAGAACATAACAAGATTGAGATTATTATTTTTCTATTACATTATTACATACATATATACATTTGTAATTCATAATTAATAACATATGCTTATATTTACAATGAATCCTTTATTTTTAATACTAATACCATTCAATATAAATATGTTTAAATATTTTGAAAATTGAACGAACTATGAAAACAAAAATTTATAAAATTATAAAAAATTAGTAATGTTAATTAAACTTAGACAACAACAACGAAAAGCCACTTTGTAATGAATATATATATATATAGATATTGTATATAATCTCAACTACATTGAAAAAATTGAAAACAATTCAATCGGTTTACTTAAATAAGCAGCCTGAAATATGATTGATTTGACAATATCAGTACTTAGGCGGTGGCATGTGAGTGTTGATATGCGGCTGCTGTCGCCCAAGGATTATGCGCGTGGTGATGGAAGGCGCCAGCACTGGCATAGCCCGAACTTGTGCTGAAATCCGGATAGGCGGTATACTCGGATTTCATGTGAAGCAGCCCAGGATATGTGTGCGATGTTGTGGAGTGTTGTAGGTGATGATTAACAGGGGAGGTAGAACCGTTGGAATCACCGGGCGAACTCATGGTAAGGCCATACTCGGCCGCCAATTGGGACTCACTTTGCATTGCGAGCGCCGCGTAATGTTGGCTACTCGTTGCTGTTGTCGTTAAACTCGACTGCATCTGCTGTGGCTGTTGTTGCTGCTGGAGGTTAGTCGTTGCAGCTGTTGAGGTAGTTTCAGTATTGGTGTTATTGCTGGCAGGACTGCCCTGCATTGACTGTTGCTGTAATATGGCACTGCGACTAATTTGTTGTTGTTGTTGATGCTGTTGCTGCTGATTGCTTGTATGGCTGTTCCACAAATCAAACGAGGCGCTACTTGACAAAGGTGAGGCTAAGGACACAGAGGAATTGGAAGCTACTGACTGTTGCTGTTGTTGCGCACCGGAATGTTGTTGTAGACCTCCACTATAGAGACCAGCGCCAGAAAGTGGATGTGTATGGTGGAAGAGCGATGTGCTTTGGTGATACAAATTCGAATAAGCATTGTAGCCACCCATGGCATCTGGTTGTTCTGTTTTCATTTGCAATTGTGTTGGTGTTGATGTGGACGCTGCGAGTCTAGTCGCGGCTGTGACTGAAGGAGTAAGCGGTTTCGTCGTAGCGTTGTTGCTGTTATTATTACTGATTATATTTGCGGACGACGAAACACTAGACTGACTCGCAACAGATGATTTTGAACTGTTGAGACCGCTGCCAATCGGTGTTCTCTTTTCCTGTTGATTATCCTGAACTTTCTCCGGCTTCACAGCCGATGATTGTTGTTTAGCTTCTGCTGCAAGCGCTTTCTTACTTTTTTTGTCTTTAAAGTGCGTCTTTTTATGCTTGCTCAAATGATCACTACGAGAAAATTTTTTCGAGCAAATTGGACAGGCGTACGGCCGGTAATTAGTATGCGTGCGTCCGTGACGTTGCAACTCATCAGAACGTGAAAAACGTTTTCCACAAGTTAAGCACAAAAATGGCCGCTCACCGGTATGCCAACGCAAATGTGTCTTCAAATGTGATGCTTTGCCGTAGAGTCGCTCACAGCCCGGTATATGGCAGATATGTTGCTTTCGGCCACGTTCATCTGGACCAACAATTGGTGGCAGGCCGGACATTTCGTTCGCACAATTGGGGCATGTGCAACGAACTGAGCGGCGCTGCAGTTGTGTCTGGAAGGCGATATCGTCAAAATTAAAACTTGGATATGCCTGACTCGACCAGGGCTGATAAAGTCGATCCTGGTGCGAAAACCAAGCGCCGGCGGCTGCAGCCGAAGCAGACATGCCTACGTTGCCATAGTAATCCGAGGCGTACTGGGCGTACGGAAATTGTGTACTACAGGTGAGAAAAAATTAAAAAATTGTAAAATTATAATACGGAAATAGCGGGAAAGTAAAAACGAAAACTCTACTTATGCTGTTCAGCAAGCAATACAAAACTGAACCATATTGCATACTGAAATAATAAATTTTGCTAATACAACTTACCGTGTAGGTAACGCGGCTGCTGCTGAATAGGTGTTCCACGAATAGGCAGCACTTGCAGCCGCAGCTGCGCCTAAATCAGTATTCGATGCAGCGGCTACGGCTGCTGCAGCTGCGCTAGCATGTGCCGCTACAGCCTGGGCGGTGGTCGGTGAGCCGGAAAGTGGCGACACCGACGATGAGGTTGCAGATGCAGGCGGACTCGAGGAAATCGAGGCAAATGACTGGGCGGGCGATGGAAATATGCTGGTTGGCGAGACAGACGCAGATGATGGTCCCGAATGTTGACTCGATATTGGCGAAGCCGTACCGGTAGAGGATGATTGTGGCGGATATTGCATTTCCATTTTCATGGCAAGGGCACTGCAAGCATCTGTTGAGGATGCTGCTGTTGCAGATTTTTGTCCATAAAGCGAGGCGAAATTGCTGGCGCTTGTAGTAAAACCACCGAGATGTGTGTTGCTACCGCTGCTGTTGTTACTCATTTGGCCTGCCAATGTTGAAAAATGTGTCGCACTTTGTGTAATTGTAGCTGCGGCTGCGGCGGCGGCGGTTAATGATGTAGCAGCACTAGGCTGTTGCTGTTGCTGTTGGAGATGATGATGATTGCTACCGATGGATGGCATAGTTGCGGCGGCAGCAGCAAGTGAGGCGGTTGCGTAGGGATTCAAATAATTGCAGGCAGCGTCAATCATTTTTATATTATTACAATAATATCAGTTTTCAAATATGCCGCTTTACTGATTTCTTAAGTATTTACTTAAATAATACACTTATTACACTTTTATTTCTTTAAACTTTAAACGTCTTCTTTTTTAATAGTAATTGTCATTGCTCTCACGTGTGTCTGTTGTTTTTGATTTTGTTTTGCCTATTATTTATTATGTTTTACTTTTATTCGCTCTTCCTACTTCATTATGGCACACTTTACACTTGTTATCATCACACTATGATTATAGGCCCTCGTTCGTGGTCGTAGCGGGTGCACTATATAATTACGTGTTGTTGTGTCGTTTTATTAAAGCTACACTTGCGGGCAAAGGCGATGTGCTCATGTATTGCATTCCGTTTTGAGTCAATTTTCTTTCACTTACTTCTGCACAAATGTTCTCCGTTTTGCGCTTATTTCTTTTGAAGCACAAAATTCAATATTATCATTTTTCCGATATTCCAAATTAAATCGTTCGCACACCACAACCGAATTCGAAAAGCACAAATGCACTAATCAATATTTTTAATAATTACAAGCTATGTCCAAATTGTTGCTTTGGATATATACGTTGCCGTTACAAAATTGGTCAGCCGAAACCAAAATGTTGGCGCAGTTGTTCACAACTTCTTATTTTATTAACTCTGACTGTTGTTGCTGCAATTCACTTAGTATAATTCGCAAAAACTCTGTGTCCGATGATGACGATGGTTCTGGACTCGAATATGGGCCTCCACGGACGCGCATACAAAATAATGATGACGATCACAATGACGACGTTCCGTAAATTGCGCCGCAAACGCGTTCACTGCAATAATTACTGGGCTAGTAGTGTTGGCGCTGAGTGTGGCTGTTTGTCGCAGAAGCTGAACGCTATTGTGCATGGAGATATCACGATACAACGATACTACGTACTACCAACACTAATTATCGTTGCCGACTGAATTCCAAAACGCAGCGAGAGAGTCCAAACAGTGCCAAACGACCGAACGAACGTAGCACGAAAATCCAAAGACGAGTCAAGGCAACACAGAAAGCAACCCAACAAATACAAGCGGTGTGTATGCAGGGGAAATTGCTTATACAAATGAGTGAGTGTGAACGTGCGTGGCTCAGTGTTGCGGATTGGTGGTGGTTCATAGGCTATGTATATTTGTAGTTGCTTAGTATTTTTTGGTGGTTGTTTCTTGCACTAGGAATATGTTGTTTATTTGAATGTACTTATGAGTAACTCTACTCGACGAACTCAGTGTCGTGGAGTCAATAGTTCAAGGTGTGGTGCGACTATGAGGTACATATGTATAGTGCGTTGTGTCACGTTAGACGGTGCGGTAAAGAGTGATACAAGTTTAAATTCACTGCGTGTATTTTATTAATTTGTACACACATACATATGTGTGCGTTAGCACGTAGAGTTGCGGTTCGAGTGAGATAGCAATAGTCGCAGTCACGGCAGCATAATGGAAGGATTACTGTGAGAGCACGTTTGTAGCAGGCATTAGGTAGCGAAGCAGCAAGTACCATATACCGAAATTCGGAAAGTATTAATTTATTGCTTGCTGATGGCTGCAGACGTTCGGCCGTTTAATAATGTCTCTTTCTTACCTCCAAGGCATAATGCGCTAATCTTTGTCTGACTAACTGACAGACAAGCGTCCTGGCTACCTGTACGATTTGGTGTTCTACAACTAAAACGAAACGTTATGTCAAATTAATTCCATGTAATTTTAAAAATTATACCAAACAATTCCACTCACATTTGCTTTTGTACGTATACGAAAGCAAATATTGCAAACAATTATACTTTTTAATTTTGGTTTTACTTTTACTTTTTCATCCCATCCCTTTATGACGTAAACAATCAAATGTTATAGATTTTGTTAGCAAAGCCGGTAAACGAGTTAATGGCACTTCGTCAGAAAAACAAAACACGGCGACACACCGAAGTGCATAAATGGTTTTTAAAAATATGAACATTAAGTCAGTTCATATGTTGACCTTCAATTCTAGGTCATTTTACGCGAAGGTGTTTAAGAGTGCAAATTTTTAAACAATCCTAATTTTATAACCGTTTTTGGCATGAAGAGTAGAGTAAGTCACAAAAATACTTATGTACTTATAGAACAATATGCTTGTGTTAACATGTACATACATACGTATTCATTTCTGCTTTAATTTACGTCGTAAGGCTAAGTGTGCTATAAAAGCATACATATGTATGTATATAAGACTATGGTAACCAAGGGCCATTGCAGAACCCTTCGTTAAATATTTCGTCGTTGAACTTACGGCTTAATAATATTGAAGGTATCCTGATATAATATAAAGTTTTTTCTTTAAAGTCCCTAAACAATAAAGAAAACATGCCTCTCTTTAAATATATTTAATATCTCTGAAAAGTCAAACTCACGACATATAAAACGCAATATGCAAATACATTTTTTTACGAGAAATACGACTGACATGCATAGATATGTAAAATATCTAAAAATTAAACATTATAATAAAACGTATTACGTATGCAACAAAAATAGTAAAACAAAAAAACGATGGCAACTTATAATGAAAAAATGGGAAATAAAGCACACAAATTGGAATTGAAATAAATTTTGTGGTTGCGGCCCAATGAAATAACTGTATTTAAAGGGGCGTTACCAAACACCGATGTAGTAGCAACACACTTGCATTGCCATACAGCCGCAACAGCTGCTGGCACCGACTAATAATCACAGCTGCAAGCATACAAGCGCATTTGTGTATGTAAGTGAGAGAGAGACAGTGGGAAAATGAGTATAATACTTGGCGGAGAGACAATGCCTCAGCATTAGTATTGTTGTTACACCACTCAATTTGGTCTGACCTCCTCCACACATCCCTTATTTCCACCCACACTTAAATGATGCACTCCACGTGCTAGCTCCATTTTATCCTTATACTACTATAGGTGTTACTAATTGAACTCTCAGTTTCACAAACATATGAACATATGTATGTATTTATGTACATATGCACATAATTCTAGTTAAAATATTAATATTTTGAATACGATGCTTTCTTTTTTTTGACTTTTGAACATTATTATTTCTTATTAAAAAAAATAATCTAAATTGAAATAAAACAATTTAAAATAATTTTATTTAAAAATATATATGTACTCGTATGTTCGTATTATACAAATTTGATCTTAAATCATAGCAATTTAATTTAATTTTATCAACAATAATCATGATAATCATGCATCCTAGTTTGCTACTCCACTTTTAAATATGTAATTAACCAACTATGTGCGCTAAGATCCCAACTTTCAGCTTAAATGTGTACTACATACATACTACTTGAACCCCATTAATGTGCAAAGAATTTTTGAAAAGAGATGGGCAGTTTTTTTTTGCTGCTGCACCCATCATGTGCCATTTTTATTCAGCATTCATATGGTTAGCTTAAATGCTCTTCTCTTAATCTGCTTAGATTTGGCATCGAGTACGTAGAAATTTACTACACTCTCCACAAGTAACAATCTCCATCTTCACTTGTGCCTGCTCTCATAATGGTTCAAAACAATTGACTACGCCAACCTGTAACATCAATTGCCCGTACCCACCATACCCACCAATTGTTGACTGCTCCCAAGTATTAAGTAGCCACTGCTTGCCCCATACTCTTACTTACCTTCGGCTGTATAGCCAAACATTCGGTTACGAGCCGTTCTTGTAATTGTGGACTTAATGGCGTGTGCGTAACATATAATGAAACGGAAGATACAATCATACCGAAACTGCTTGCACTTATCGTATTTAATGGAATGCCTTTCACACCCATATGATTGAAGTGGGAAACACCATAAGCTCGTAGTACAATCATCTAAAAAGAGCGCAACAAACAGTAACCAAAATAGACTTGATAAAAGAGAGTTCATCTTAATGTTGCTGTTGTTGTGAACAAGATTTATGACGACTGGGCTGATTGAATGTCTGCTGACTGACCAAATGAGTGCTTGAATGTTTGAATGTCTACGTCTGCTTCTGATTTGGTAGCAAGATGAAATGCTTAGCTCACTTTCACAAGGAGCCTCATAGGTATCGGCTGTTGTGAGTATATATGTAGTATGATTGATAGTAATCAATTATTGTTGTAGCTATTTGTTAAAATACTGCGACGCGTAGAAGTGGGCAGGCAGTGTTCTATGGGAAATATTTTGCGTTAAAACTAGGACAGTGGTTGGAGAGTTTGTAGTACTGTTGTGGATGTTACGCGTGCTTAAGATCATAAATTAATGATAAAACAGTCAAGCATATACCTACATATATAAACATATGTTTTGAAGTTAACAGGCGGGTGCATATCATATCAAACTCCTTATTTGTGTACTTTGGCCTAATGTACATATATACAGGTTTGTTTTGTAGGTCACATGTAGAAGTTGTGAATTCCTCAATTTATCCGTACTTCGTTAGGCTTTTTGCTTTTGAGCCAATTATCTATGCTCAAAGCTTTATAAGCCCTTAATATAAAATATCATTTTATCGCCTTTTCTCAATTTAAACGCCAAAATACATTTATTCAATGATGGATGGATAACTACTTCAGAAAATTATAGGATAAGCGTGTTGTATTAGTATTAAAATTTATTTATTGTTTTCAACAAACTATTAAACCTTTATTTATTGAAAATGATGAGGTCAAAATTATTCCAGCGCTTTTTGAATATCCTCTCTAAAAATAATTGGAAACTTACAAAAATACAGAGTATTCAAATTAAAAAATTATTAAAACTAATTTTATGAGGCTAGGGTTCATAAAAAAATTGTAACCGTAATATCAGAATTTAATATTGTAGTTTATATTGTCAGATCACCTACTTCTTTGGGATCTCATTTCTATATCTATAAGACAGTATTATGCACCTAAGACATTATGCAAGATGGATTGTAGAATTATACCCTGCACAGGGTATGTTAGGTTTACCACGAAGACTGTAACACCACAATGACCAGCATAAATAGCTGCATCGATTTATGTCCGTCTGTCGATCCGTTCTTGAGATATTGATCTGAAAAGTTTTACACGTCCTGTTCTCCTCAAAAAGCTTCTCATTTATGGGGCCACTATAGCATGTACAAAGCTGCCATACAAACGAAACGATCAAATAAATGTCTTCTTAAGAAAACCTTTTATTTGACGAGACATGTTCACAAAATATTTTTCACGGATTATTGTTCAAAGCAACGGTACAATCTCCAAAGATATTGTTCATATCGAAGAACTTTAGCACATAGCTGCCATAGAAACTGGCCGATCAAAATTAAAATAAAGATATTTTTAAATATGTTATAAGAAATGCTCCTGGCAAGGGTATTATACAATAACTTCGGCGCAACCGAAGTTAACGTTTTTTTTTTGTTTTTTTTTTGCACAAACAGTTTTTCAAAATTTAAATTTAACTTGAAAATGTATGTATGTTATTGATCTAGGTAAGATGTTGGTAGATTCTCGGATGCCACGACCTTCATGTAGCATATAAGTGAATTATACAATTTTTAACTCTATCTCCGCAAAACGGAAGTGTAAGGACATGAGTAAAATAAATAATCAATAAAAGATTGTTGAAAATGTTCATTGTTTTTTTTTTATTGCTTCCAGATTTACATTGAGTTCTCCATGATATAAAACTAATTAATCTGTCTATTATATACAATATTTGTCTAGTATAACATATACTGTCTTTGCATACATACAATGTCGATTTGTAATTTTACTAAAGTATATTTAAATCATTTTCCCGCACAATTAATAAAGATATGGTGCGTTATTCATTAACTCTTTCGTTTTTGACTTTGGGCGACACTAGTGTTTAAGTCTACAACAAACAACTGCAAATTTAACGCCTAGATATATGCCATATGCTAACGTCGTCCAGCATAGGCTTAACGTTAGCAACCGAAATTAAAACCGTACCGATCACCAAATTGAAGAAAATCGCTAAAGATTGAGCATAGGCTCTAACACAAAGCAAAAATCGGATATTCCTTGGAAAAAGTTAACAAATTTGGGACATAGAAAACTTTCCCGTACAAATGACTTTAACCTTCATTAATATTCTCGCACCCCCAAACAATACATATCCTTTGTATACAGAGAAGCAGGCAGAAGAGTTAATAAATGCATACACGAAGAAGTAGTGAAGTTTTCCCAGAGTTAATCCGGTCAAGTCGTCTTTTGTTTAATAAAATATTTACCAACTCCGAGCGAAAATACCAAACAAATTCACCTTTGTTTGCCAGTTTATATTCCTCTTTATATTGGTTGTTAAATGTAAGTGCATAATGCAAGTTTAACCATACTCGTACATATCTATGTATACGGTTTGAGGAGTGCCTACCTACATATATTTGACACAAGCTGTTATGTTCTTTCAGCTGACCGAAGAAACAATAAGCCTTTAACCATGTAGCAGAGTGTAGCTGCCGCGGACTCAAACCACTACTGATAAAAGCGTATCCTACCGACGCGTAAAGCAGCGTGTCAACGTAAGAAATGTAGACTGCCAACAAACTAGCATATTCATATACAATTACATTACGTTCTCCCATACCATATTCATACCATTATCCATAGAAACACACATTCGTACATATTTTACAGACAATTAACTAGAAAAGACAGAAATATGTTTAGTTTTAACATTTTACGCAGACAATTCCGCGCTTCCGTAAATCTAAATAGTTTTGAAGCATCGCAAGCCGCAAGTGCTAACATCATTGGACACGGTATATATATTCGAACAAAGGCACACAGAGAATGCCCATATGAAATAAAAATATTTTCTGGTATTTAAATTTGTTTTGTTTGGTCTACTGTTCGTTGCTATTCGGAAGTCTGCAACATAATGACATTGCAAAAGTCGATTCATTAGTTGTCCAGCGATGTTCAAATTGTGTTTGCTTTGCTTGTAACTTAATCCCTTCCTTGTGTTCGGTAAGCCAAATTTTCACACTGTACCACCCATGGACAAACTAAGTGAGCGAGGATTTTACAACA